CATCTTCCCCTTCACTGACTTAGAAAAGAGCCAGCAACACACTTCAGAGTAAGTTTAATGAACCAGTTCAACAGAAAGTAATACCAACAGGTACTGCATCATATCATAACTTGTTGCAGAACAGAAAAAATCTCTCTCTTCCCATCTCCAGTGAATGTAGTGCACTGCCAGTTCTTTCCAGTACAACAGTATCACGGAAATTGGACCCTGCATTGGTATACGGAGATGGTAGCCTATGTTTCACAGCTATCAAATGGAGCTAGCTTGGGTTTCTGGACTGCAAGAACCACACATCCTTCCAGCTATCAGTGACCATATCTGCTCTAGATAAAAGAATAACAGTGTATGCCTTATGATCCATCAGTTCTACAAATGTCAAACTACAATATACAAAGCTACATATTTCAGGATAATTAGAATGAGTAAGAAAAAAAAAAGTTGAATTAACTCTCTGAAACACTATTTATCAGTTCACAGTTGGTCCCTTAACAAAACTCAAGGGTTTTGAAAATGATGTATCACAATTGTCTCACTAAGCAATCAAGACTGTATCTGCACGTAATTACCTGTGTGCATATCTTTGTATTCTGCTCCAAAGTGCCTCCACTGGAAACCATACACTGGTCCCAAATCCCCCTCCTCTCTGGTGCTGAAACCCTGCTTATCCAGGAACTCACGTGACCCATTAGCATCCCAAATCTTCACACCTTTTGCAGAGAGCTCTTTGGCATTTGTAGAACCCTACAAAACACAGACAGTAAGAATTCTCCCTCCTAATTCCAACACTGAGGGCATTATCTGAAACAGCTGCTTTAAGCTTTTCTAGTCTACAGCATTTCTCCACTTACAAAGGATGAACAGTCTAATTAACGTACTGGATGAGGTTCTTGCACATGGACAGAATAAAGATTGAGAGCAACATACTGGGATGAAGTTTGAGGAATAACCATGCTGCTGTTGTTTAACACAGGAATCTCCTAACTTTGGGAATGCACAAACAGTACAGCCTCAAGGTCAACTGCGGTATGCTATTTCATAAGCACATTTGCAGAGAACAAGATGTTACTTTACAGATGGGTGAAGACAGACTAACAAAAAATGCACGGCCTAGGCACTGCCTTTGCCAAGCCACCTATAATGAGCTTAAGGTATTAAAAATCCTTTTGTTAAAACGACAAAAATGTGAAAATGACCCAGAGAAACGTCGCTGAATCCTGAAACATGTCCAAATCAGCACACTCAAAATTCAGCACAGAAATTATGCTGTTTTGGGGAGTGTCTAGTCTTTTGCATTTGAAAAAAAAAAACAACAACAAAGCTTTTAAAAAACGAATATTTCAGGCCTGCTACGTAGCAAATGGTTAGGAAGACTTTCCCATACCTGCACAATAAATAAAGGAACACTTACATTTTAATGTATTATCTATAGCTGAATTTTATGATTCTACCTACAGCTATTAGCTCTATTAGATGTCATTTTTTTGCTGCTGAAATGCGTAGTGTTTACATCAATCTCACTTCACCCATGGTTCTGCACTGCTTCTTTCTGTTCAAATCAGTAAAAGCTACTGCAATATTAAAAAGCAGATCACTAAATTGCCTACTATCTATTTCATATTATTTTTTATTCAAACACTAAGAAAAGATACTGTATTAAGTTTTATAACTGTGGAGTATAGTCAAATCAGCAAAAGCCCTCACTATTTCAGACTATATCCCTTAAAAAGAAATAAAAGGAAAACTCTTCTGAGTGCACTGTTAGCAAGTCTGCACTAAAAGACAGAATGTATCGAAAATAATGGCCTTCCATGTGTCCTTAAAATATTAGGTGGTTGCACTTCTCTCAGGAACAGAAGCACCTGCAGCTACCCCAAATCCCTTAACCCACTCCACACTAGTTCGTTCCATTTATCCCACTCTCAGGCACAGCACACACAGAGACATCCAAACACCGAACCTTGATGAACCACAGCAGCTCCTCCAGCACTCCCTTCCAGAATACCCTCTTCGTTGTTAGCAGCGGAAACTCATCTGGAAAAGAGTTTTTTAGAGCGTCAGAGGAGACCGACCATTCGCGGAGGGTGAACTGACTTAGGCTTTTCTCAAGGCCACCCTATGACATTCAGAGGTTTGGATACGCAGCGAGGAGCTGGGAGAGGATGTGTAACCCTCGTACTCCGTTCTCTCGGCGGGCGGGAGGGGGGTCAGCCCCGGGGTACAAGATGGCGTGTGACACCTTCCAACACCCATCCCGGCGGGCAGGGAGAAGGGACAGGGAGCAGGGGCACGGGGAGCAGGGGACGGAGAGCAGAGGTGAGGGGCAGGAGGCCGGGGACAGGGAGCAAAAGGCAGGGGCAGGAGACCGGGGACAGGGAGCAAAGGGCAGGGGCAGGAGACCGGGGACAGGGAGCAAAGGGCAGGGGCAGGAGACCGGGGACAGGGAGCAAAGGGCAGGGAGCCGTGGCAGGGGCCGCGGGAGCCGGCGGTGCCCACCTCTCAGGCTGTACCGCGCCTGCATGCCGAAGACGGAGAGGGTGCCGGTGCCGGTGCGATCCTGCCGCCGGTGGCCGTGCTGCAGGATGTGCCGTACCTGCTGCAGGTACTGCGGCTCGCCGAGCCCCGGGCCGGCGGTGGGGGCGCTCATCAGATCCCCCTCTGCGGGCATGTCGGGCGAGAGGCTCCCTGCGGGACGGGCTGGGCTCCGGCTGCACGGCGGTCCTGATCCTGCTCCCGCCCGCCTCTGCTGCTGCCGCTGCTCCGAGCCCGCCAAAACCCAGCTTTCCCGCCTAGCGGCTCCGAGGGGCGGAGCGGCCCCGCTGCATCCTGCTCCCTCTTTTCTCTTTCTCCGTCCCTCCCCGCGCCCGGCGTTCCTCAGCGCCGCAGCCCCCAGGGGCGCGGGCTCTGTTCCCCCGAAGGAGGAGCTGTCCCAAGCACCTGGCCAGGGTCGGTGCTCCAAACTATACCAACTTGCTTAGATTGGACATTAGGTAGAATTTCTTCTCAGAACGCGCGAGGAGATACCAGAATGGGCTGCCCAGGGAGGTGGTGCAGCAAGGGAACACTGGACGTGGCACTTAGTGCCATGGTCTAGTTGACTTGGTGATGTTTGGTCGTGGGTCCCCCCAGCTGGGATATCCTGAACCACCAAAGCCCTGGGTACAACCTGATGCCACCCTCCCATGTCGTTGGTTTGGTGCCCCTGCAGTGCCATGTCCCAGGGACAGCTCTTCTTCCACCTTGCAGCAGCGTTACCTTGACCTGAGCTTCTAAAGGACATTGAGAGTCCACGGAGCGAGTGCAGATAAGGGCAATGAAGCTGGTGAAAGGTCTCAAGCACAAGTCCTACAGGGAGTGGCTGAGAGAGCCAGTGTTATTTAGCCTGGAGGAGGCTCAGAAGTGACCTTATCACTCTACAACTCCCTGAAAGGAGTTGTGTCAAGGTGGGGGTCGGCCTCTTCTCCCAGGCAACTAAGGCAAGAGAGCATAGTTTTAAACTGTGCCATGGGAGGTTAGGTTGGACATCAGGAAGAATTTCTTCACAGAAAGGTGATTAGACTTCAAAAAGGACTTCCCAGAGAGATGGTGGTCATCATCTCTGGAGGTATTTAAGGAAAGACTGTACCTGGCCATGGTCTACTTGACATGATGATGTTTGGTCATGGGTTGGACTTGATGATCTCAAAGGTCTTTTCCCACCTCACTGATTCTGTGATTCTTTGAAACCAAGACCCTTTCATGTCATACCTTGTTATCAGCTTTCTGCTAGTATTGACACACTTGCTTTCTTACTGAAGGTAGTACTCAGCACTCACTTTTACTGAGTCTCATCTTGCTGATCTCAGCTTCTCCCGCATCAGTGTCACTTTGCATCTATTTTGCATCATTTTGCACAGTCATTTTTGTGTTTGATTGCAACTGTTCCCAATGTCATATCCTCTGAAAATTTTCTAGGTATAATCTCTGCTAGTCAAAACAAACTGGCTCTTCTCTGAATTTATCTCTTAGAAGTCAAGCATTTTGTAAGAGTCAATTATGTCTCAGATAAAGCCCAGCTTTCTGACAACTGGTGCGATTACAAGAGTTATGACTGCTAATATCTCACAATTAGGAGACTGTAATACAGGTATATAAGATGGAAGTTAGGGAGAACAGAGAACTGGGGATCAGAAAATGCTACTTTTCCTTGCAGCAGGCAGAAAATCATCTTTCCCACCATTTAAAACATTTAAATGGCCTTTTTCTTGTATAAATTTGTATGCTTACTTATATGTATAGAAGTAAAGGAAAACAAAGTATAACTAGAGTGTGGATTTTTTTTATATTCATATCTAATGTACATGGTTTTATACATTTTTAAATTAATATGACTTATTTAACAGGGATACAGTTGAAAATGGTGCATATATCTGTGTGCAAAAAATGCATAGAAATTTTGGGCACAGCAAATTAAACAAAATCGCCTAGAGCTCTGCTTCTAGCTGAGCGATATATCAGTCCTTAACCTTTGTTATAATTTACAAATACCACTAAAAGCTAGTATGTATAATTTTGCAAAAAACAAACTTCTTTACTAATAAAGGCTGTTAGCTAATTAAAATATAAACTCCAGAGGCAAACTACAAATAAGAAATGCCAAAGGCAGAAAACTTACTCAGTACTGCATATTCAGAAAAGTCATTTAATGTACACAATAAACATCAAAAGCAACTGAAAGAAGAAATGGAACATTTTAATCACAAAATAATATGCTACATTAATACAGAAATCTGGTTGATTCAGACTTAGCCAAATGTGCAACATCTGTAGGGACCAATCTTGAGAATGCTTAAGAATGTGCTTGAATTTAAGAATGCTAATAGAAATTAGTTGTGTGCTTACAGCTGATTATTTTCTTGAATATTTGCATAACCACAGCCATAGCTCATTATCAAAGATTACCTAATTTACAATATAAATAACATTTTATTTAAATAAATTAATATTAAAATGGATTTTTTCTACAGTCTTTGGTTGCTAGCTCATATGTCACAGTGTTTACTAAGCAAAATTTTATTTATATGCAACTATTTTAACCATAGTAATTTAACAACTAGCTGTATGTTGAGCACAGGGGTATTTCAACCATAGTGATCAAGGAAGAAAGATTTCACACATCTTCTTTCCTAGGAGGAAAAAAAAAAAATTATACATTTGGGTTTTGGACTGAGAAAAATATGTTAGAAAAATTAGTATATGTGGAATGTATCACTGTCCTACTATAGAAACATAAATGACATAAAAACCAAAGAGAAATGGATTTTTTCCTCTTTTTCCATTCTCATAGATCTTTCCATTTTCTTGTAGACTTTTAACTCTTTTTTTATCATCACATCTTCATGTACCCTAAATCCTGTGCAAACCGAACGTAAAACGGTAGTGTGATTTGGAAATCAATGCCACTTACTTTTCTCAAGTGTGAAATGGCTACACAAGATATGTTGCACAGAAAAATCAGACTAAGATTCAGGCTAAAAATCATAATCAGACTAAGGAAATAATTATTCTTATTATTAGGTGTTGAATATTAGTACTCCGTGATCTGAGAGTGTATATTGTCAATAAGTACATACCAGTTACAGGGAATTTTGAAGAAAGTTTGCATAGAAATTGTTTGAACATTTTATTTTATGTGTTTATAAGTATTAAAAGTGGTTGTATTTTAAACATAATATATACATAATTTCACCAATATTTACCTAAGCAACGTTCATGGTGAGGCTTATTATATTATGCCTAAATTTTGCAGCCCACCTCAGGCTATCTGGTAGGAAGGATTTCTTTCATCTGTTTAGAAACTGTATGTCTAACCTCAAAAGAATAACCTTAGTTGATACAAAATACAGACATTTTCTTCATTTACTTTTTCAATGTTGAATGCTTTTTGCATGCTTCCTCGGACTTCTCTGTGTTTCAGGTCATGCTTCAGTTGCGGAGTTGAGGATAGCAGACACCCAATGACCTAAAAAGCAGCTATGTCCAAATCTAGTCCTTCTCAGAGGACTGAATGTGGTGATTTGCCTGAAGATCTCATGCATCTTGCGGCTCTATCCCCTGGTAAAGCCACTTGTAAGAGTTGGAGGCCACTAAAGCTGTGCATCCCAGGGCCCCCCGGAAAGAAAGACCTAGGGATGGGTGGCTCACAAGCCCCATAGCAGCGTGATGCCACCTAAACCCACCCTGTCTTTCCTGGAGATTCCCTGTCGGGTTAGAGAATATGAAGCATTTTTTAAGCCCTGCCTGCCTGCTGGGTTCTTCCTTCCTCATCTGGAAATCCCTTAAATGTGGAGGGAGGCTTCTTGTGTGCCCTTCCTACAAAAATGGTTAGAAGCCCCTGAGAAGGATCTTTCTGTGCATATTCCTGCAAGTTGAACTGCAAATTCTGTTTACACAGTCAGTCTAAGGTGAGTGCTGCTAATGGAGAAATGTTATGATAAGACAGCTCTTTAAAGTCCTGGTGGTGATTCTCACTTTGCAGTCCTTTATCACGAAAAATAATACAAGCACGCTCTTAAACACCACTGAAAGCAAAAACCATGGTGAATAGTGGTAATTCCAGTTCATTCATGATGAATAAACACAAAGACATGTTTTTCGATGCCAAGACAGTGGACTGTGGTTGTGAGGCAATTCTTTTCTAAAAGAATATTTATCGTCACGTTATCTCATCCCAGATGTTACTTAAAGATGGAGGATTTCACAGTTAAATAAGTCATATCATTTAATATCATCATGTCTGTGTTTGCAGGCTAGAACATTGAGTGTCTTTTTGTGTTTTCCATAACGCTTGTGTTTGTCCCAATCAATATGTCTTTCTGAGGAGGCAGTCTTTATACCACGACGGAATTCTGTTCCAAGTAAAGTTTATTGCAATGTAAACATCTGTTAGGAAGAATTGTGTTTTCTAGGAAAGGAGAAAGAATGAACTTACCACTTAAAAATTCTGCTTATACAGTTGCAGTGCTTTCCCAGCTACGTATTCAATGAATTCAGCACTCTGTGGGTCTAAATTGGGAGGAACTTTAATGGTGAAAGTAGGAGAAGTCAGAATATTCACGTCTACCACAGTTTCATTTTTACTGGAGGGATCCCCAGGTACCACCTAGAAGAGATCAGTGCTTTAGACACTACAAACTACTGAGAACTTTCAGTTTTGTTTATACCTACTGTGCCCACTGTCTTTAATAAGGGAAAATTAAATAGAAGAATAATTTAGACCTCTCTACTTTCTTTAAGTTGTTTTCTTCTGAAAAGACAGTGGGTGTCTGAATTAGTGCCAAAGCTGATTGTAGGTGGTGGAAAGAGCTGACATGGCAATGCAAGACCATATTGAAGAACTTCATGTTAATATTTATACGATGAACTCCATCTATAAAGAACTTCTGTTCTCTTAATGAGAACTTGTAAGTTGTCCCACTAATTTCAGTACAACTTTTGTGTGGTTGAAGTTATTTATTCATTTGTGTTTTTCTAAACCAGAATTAGCTCTGTAGCCTAATTTTCCTAGATCAGACAGCTCAGACTGAGTTGTGAAAGTGCGCCTGTCCCCTTGTACCTATTTTGTGCTTTATTTTTTGTGGTTTGCACCATCATTTTGCATAGTTTTTGCAGTAATACTAGTACACTGTATTTCTGCATAGGAAAGGAGAATTTATCCCTTGCCCAGGAAAATGGATTGAATTTACCTTGGATGTATTCTGGTGTGTGAGATACAATTAATCATGATGTATTTATCAGAATATCGACAAATGCTGCCTAATATATGCAGCTTCTGCTGCAAGAATCTGTCTAACATTTGCCTTCTTTGAACTTTGGAGTTTATAGATACAAACATAGACAGATAGCTAAATATTCATTGACCCAATAAAGATGTGTTACTGACAGGTATAGTGCAATTTATCTGTGAAGGTAATCTGAGGCCAGTCAAAGCTACTAGTGTCAATTTACTCTTATCAGACAGTGATTCGAGTTAGCCTATCAGCCATGCATCTGGCTGAAAGGATTTAGAAGAAAATAGTTTCTAACCTCAGGAGTTTCAGCTCATCAAAGGATTATCAAGCATACACGAATTCAAGATGAATAGGAATGTTGTATTGTACAACCAGACATTACACACGTACTAACATCCAAAACCCCCAAGAACGTAAAAGTACGAGCAAAGTGCAGGTTAAAGGCAGCAATAATTCCCTTCAGAAGACAACCCTTACCTTATCTATATTGAAAATGCTTTCTGGTCCGATGGTCATATTGGATAACTCAGACACCCACCCAAATCTTTCTTTCATTTTGGTCAACAAGTAGGAAGTGTCTTCTGTGTGATGCCGAACCACTTGGAGAATCTGCTCATACTGCTCCCCTGAGAGATTAACCAGCTTAAAGGCTTCATCAAACTTTATGTGCAGCTCAGGAACGTTTGGGCAATCTGTTAGAAAATACAGTATTATGTCTTGTACTTTGCCTCTTCTATCTGAAGTAATGAAAGCTAAAAATGTCTAGCAAGGGGGCATGGTTTGGATTGGTCTTTAAATAATGCTGAAAAAAAGAGAATAATTCTTGCTTACCTCTTTTGGTACATTTAGTTTAGGCTCACATTTGCTAAAAGGATTTATTATCCCATTTATTATATTACAATTACTTACCAAGTAGTTTAAAGTTTATATTGTATTTCATGGCAATAGATTTTCTTTTATGCTAAATTAGATTTGGTAGATTTTGCATACAGCAATGTCATAATCTCCTTATACTTTATGGGTTTTTTTTAATTGCTCTTATTCCATTATCAATCTATCCCAGGTATATAAACTGCAAGGCAGGGATTAGGGGAGCAAAGTTCCTCCCACTGGAAGAGAAGATCAGTTTTGAGACCACATGAGGAACCTGAATATACGTTTGTAAGTCTGTGGGACTTGAGTCCTGGGGGAATTGGCTGATGTAGTAGCCAAACCACTCTCCATGATATTTGAGAAGTCGTGACAGACAGCTGAGTCCTTGGTGACTGGCAAAAGGGAAATATTGCACTATTTTTAAAAAGGGTATTAAGGAGTACCCTGGGGACTGCCACCCTGCCAGCCTTACCTCTGTGCCTGGGAAGATCTCCTAGAAGCTATGCTAAGGCACGTGGAGGACAGGGAGGTGATTTGGGACAGCCAGCAGGACTTCACCAAGTGCAAGTCCTACATGACCAACTTTGTGGCCTCCTATGATAGAGTGACTACATCAGTGGACAAGGAAAGGGTTAGAGATGTCATTTATCTGGGCTTCTGTAAAGCCTTTTACATGGTCCCCCACAGTATTCTTCTCCCTAAATTGGAGGCAGATGTATTTGATGGGTGGACTGTTTGCTGGATAAAGAATTGTCTGGTTGGTCAGATCCAGAGGGGAGGGGCCAACGGCACACAACGGTCCAGACAAAGATCAGTGACAAGTGATGTCCCCTGGGGGTCCATGTTGGGACCACTATTGTTTAGTCTCTTCATAAATGACATGGACAGTGGGATCAAGCGCACCCTCAGCAAGTTTACAGACGAAACCAAGCTGAGTGGTGCTGTTGACACATCTGAAGGATGGGATGCCATCCCAAGGGACCTGGAGGAGCTGGAGAAGTGGGCCCATGGGAACCTTATAAGGCTCACCAAGACCAAGTGCAAGGTGCTGCAACTGGGTTGATGCAACTCCTGGTATCCACGCAGACTGGGGGATGAGGGGATTGAGAGCAGCCCTGCCAAGAAGGACTTGGGTGTGCTGGTGGATGGAGAGGCTGGACATGAGCCAGCTTCTTCCCAGAAATGTGTTCTTCTTCCCAGAAACCCAACTGTATCCTGGGCTGCATCAAAAGAATCGTAGTCAGTAGATCAAGTGAGGTGATTTTGCCCCTCTACTCCACTCTCATGAGACCCCTGGAGTACTGTGTGCAGGTCTGAAGTCCTCAGCACAGAAAGATATGGACCTGTTGGAGCGAGTCCAGAGGAGGGACAAGATCAGGGGGCTGGAGCACCTCTCTTAGGAGGAGAGACTGAGAGACTTGGGGTTATTCAGCTTGGAGAAGAGAGGACTCTTGGGAGACTTACTATGGCCTTTGGAGAAAATCTGTGGCCTTCAGTAACTGAAGGGGACAGACTTCTTATCAGGGCCTGAGGACAAGGGGTAATGACTTCAAACTGAAAGAAAGTGTATTTAGACTAGATGTAAGGAAGACATTTTGTACAATGAGGGTGGTAAAACATGGAAACAAGTTGCCTAGAGAGGTGATAGATGTCCCATCCCTGGAAACGTTCAAGGTCACGTTGGATGGGGCTCTGAGTAACCTGGTCTAGACGAGTGTATTCCTGCTCATTGCAGGGGGCTCAGATTAGCTGACCTGTAAAGGTCCCTACCCAACCAAGCTATTCTATGATTTTATGACACAGATTATTACAAGAAAGCCTGTAATGTATGTTAGTATTCCTGTTGAATGTTAAGACCTAATATTTATCTAACAATAGCTAGATATTAGTATGAGACTAGTATAATTTTCAGTGAATTCAGAACTGAAGATTCCTGTTTTTTCTTTACTAGAATACGGACTTTAAACAAGAACATTTTATTTAACCTATACAAAAATTACTCTGGAGAAATTCAATTTGTTTTCTGTACAATAGTATTGTCAAGGGGCACCTTCAGCCTGATAATACAGTAATCACAAACTGGTATCTGTAATACACAGGTGTAGATAAAAAAAAGTGGTCTGATATTCTTTTTAAAATGTATCATTGTATCATTAATATTTGCCACACTGGAGATATTCTGAAGACATTTGAATTTAAGCATATCCTCTGGCATTTAAGACCCAAATAATTCTGGAAATACAGATGTGTTATGTTGCAGTGGGAATTCTAGATGATTCAGGCTGAATTTTTTTCAGGTGCCCATGAAGGGTACATGTCAGAACTCTGCCATCTCCTTACATACTGACATGAAACCCCCTTTTTGTCAGCCCTGTTTGCTGACATCATTCAACAAATAATAATTGCAGGCTCTTCAGCACTTGCTTTCCTTGTAAGGAGCTGAGTGTCACCTGATCTTACACCTGGTTGTCAGCAGGAGAAGCAAGTGTCAGGAGTTTGAGCTTCTCCTTGCTTTTTGCTCAGCATTGCTGCACCCAGGCAAAATCGACTGCTGCCTGACATCTTGTTTCTTTGCAGGATGGTCAGGACTATCAAAATATATCAGTATTTTGCTATAGACTGTGGAACTTCTCTCTGGACCACCAGCGGTATGTTAACAACTGAGTTATAGTGACACTCTGTGGAGACAGTGGGGAAAGCTAATTGAAATCATCTGGAATGAGGAATGGTGATTGTACCCGTAGTTACAGTAAAAACGCAGTGACTGAATATTAATTCCAAAAATATGAAGACAGCGCAGTAGAAAATGACAACTTGAAAATCTACAAACCAGTAATCAATGCATTACAGAAAAAAAACAAACAAAAACACAAACAACCCCCCACAAAACAAACAAAAACCCAAAAAACAACAAACAAACAAAAAACCCCCAAGAAAAATAGCTATTTACCATGCAAAAGATTATCTTGACATTTCTGGCATCTCTCATGAAACTGTGGGCATCCAGAGGAGTTCTCCCATAGCTCCCTGCACTGAGGTCTCTGGTGCCCTGGCGCGATTTTTGAGAACATCCCACTTTTGCCAGGTTCTGGAATGAAGTCATAGTATTTTTAGACTGGCATTAAACTTAGAGTCTTGATAAATACACATTCATTACCTAATCTGAGTTCTTTCAAGGAATTCATGCCACCATAGTATATTCCCTTATAAAGACATCGTAGTGTATTCCCCACTAATAACCAAAAATTGCTAATATTATTACACATTATTTGTTTCTACAACATCTGAGTTCTGGTAAGATCTTTTTGACCCTTAGAAGTCAAGATGTTTCATATTCACATACAGCTAGATGAGAGCACAGTACCAAAACTTATTTCTGAGCTAACATGGCTCCTGATACAGAAAAAAAATTAAAAACTCTATTGAAGAATTACTTAACTTTATATTTCCCGATGATCATATAACAGTTATGTCACCTGCCACTCAGGATTATGGCATGTGCTCACTGTGATCTCCTTTTAGACAGGCACCAGCATGTGTTTAAATGATGCTTGCTTTACTTTTTGCATTAGTAAAATATGAAACTTATTTGTATTCCTAAAGTTGGCTATGTTTCTTTCCTTTCATTGAGAGTTATCACCAGTGGTATGCCCAGAATTTTCTGGTCACTGAAAAATCTGATGGCTGCTCCTTATTTGACTGGTATTTGATTGGCACATTACATTGCTGCAGTAGACTGGAACTTACAGCTGTCAAGCTGAACTTAACATCATTTGTAAAGGGCAGGGATATGTCTTGACATCGCACAGTATTGCTCTAATTTTTTAGAATTGGTGACCTGTCAATAAGAGATGATACAAATCATATCCTGGCAAATGCTGAGATTAAATCTGTCAGTCAGCCTTATGAAAACCTGCATCTGTTCTGAATGCCAGGACTCCTGAGGAATTCCTGCATATGGTGTGAGAATTGCCATGAAAATCAGGCTATGTAGGATCCAAAGTCTCCCTGCAACATTTCTCTGAGATTTCTAGGTGACTTGTATCTGTTCATTTAACTGATAAAACTTGTCCTTGCCCCATGTCTCTTTAACCAAGAAAACCTCCAGAGCTTCCTTACAGTATCTCACCCTAACATAATGGAAACTCAGTCATTAACCGTAGTTTAGCAGTCCCGAGGGGTTTGATGTCATTGACAGTGCAGTTGGTTTTCATTTTCTAACACTTGCCTTTGGTTTGGTCTGGCAAATCTCTTCTATAATCTCTGTATTCATCAAATACGTCGGTAATCACCTCACTGACACCTTCAAACACGGTCCTACTGAAATCAAAAACTATCTGTAAAAAGCCAGGCATAGCCCAGCCTTTCTGTGAGCCATCATTTCTGGTGGTGTCCTCAGGTAAAGCTGGCAGGCTGGGGGGCTCACTCAAGTCCAGATCAGACATGAAATATGTCTGAAAAGATTGGTCAAATTCTTTTTGCATGTGCTTGAAAAAAATGAAACTTCTGTCAAATATTGAGCCCACATCTGATAATAGTTGGCTAAATAAATCTTCCATTTTTACTAGCTGGATATCTTCTTTCTCAGACTTTTCATTAAACTGGATGTCTTTTCCTTGATCCTCATGAAAACTGAAAATGAGTGGAGGTATTTTCCTCAAAAAATCTTCAACCTGTGTATAAGAAGGAGACAGATCAGCTGCGCGACAAGTTATCAGTTTGTCATCTCGCGGGCTCTAATTTTTCTTTTTCAAATGCCCATAGAAACAATGCCCTCTTAATAACTGCAAACACAGCACATTCTCTGAAGACCCTAAAGAGGGGAAATACATTCAATCTAAATCACTAGCATTAATTTTACTCCAAATCAGATCTGGAGTAAAAAGGTTACCAGTTGCCCTTTAATCTGTGGAGGCTTTAAGTATCGGCATCTGGATTTCTTCCAACAAACAATTTGGACTTTATCTTGGAAAGATGTGAGATGCATTTCTGTGTACTTATGTGCAGTGTAGGGAACAGAAGGTGATTGTTCTTGCTGTGATTTGTAAAAAGCCTGCCCACTCTCACCAGTGGGCAAGTCCTCACGTCTTTCTGCAAACTGAAACCCAGCAAAATCAAGAAAGCAGTGGCTCTCAGTCCATGGTTTGATGATGGAAGAGTCCGAGTGTCAACTCTGCTGCACAGGGTTCCCAGTTCCTCAGCCACTGGTTCCCTGATCTTGTTCTTTAAGGCACTACTTTTACCTGAGCCAATGGAGTATTTTTTGAGCCACATTCCATGGCATTAGGAAACAGATAAGCTTCGAGAAGCACCCTGCTAAACACATACACATACTTATAGTCAGATATTCACATAGATATAGACAGATATACATATACACTAAAAAAAAATAGAAATCAGATCATCAGCTCAATCTGATCGCTAGTGCAGCTCAGAGGGAAGGCAAACTGTGAAACAGCACTGCAGGAACAGCCTAAGCCACTGTTGTCCCCTCTGTCTGTGTGTCCTCACCCACAGCTATCCTCTTTGTCCTCTTTTTGTTTTAATTATTTAGGTCACATCACATTTCTTACTTTCAATGCTTCAAAGAAGGCATGTAGCTCACTGAGGAAGTTACCAAGAGGGTCAAAGACAGTAGCAGAGCAGTATATAACTTTTACTGCAATAATTTCAGCACCCACGGCCTCTTGAAAAGTCCAAGAGATGCATCTGAGCTATCCATGAGTGGTATCTAAAAAGCTAAAAGTATCACCAATAGTCTTAAATTTAATATCTCCCACGTTTTAACCTGAATTAGTTTAAGAATATACACAAATGTTAAACACTTTTGCTCCAAAGCTTGTCTGAAACACACTATCTGTTTAATGTTTATGTTATTGTATTTTTCAGCACATGAAGTGTGAAAGCTTGGTAATCTGGCTAACATTTCAGTAGCAGTAATTGCATTATTGTTTGTTAAGCTACATTTAAAGCGTATTCCCAAACAAAAAACAATTTAAAAAAAAAAAAAGTGATTACAATTTTGTTAAATCTTGTTGTAATAATAATTCACCAGCCAGGAAAGCATATTTTCTTTCTGGTAGAAGTAGGGGAATATCCTTTTCTGACAGGTTCCTTTATTAAAAAAACAGTTAAGCATTTTAAAGCTTTTTTGTTACTTCAAGAGTTGATTTAAAACAACTATAGGAAAGAATGATGTTGTGTTAAGTGGTTGATTTTTTTTTCCCAATGGAATTTTGCTAACTATATCTACACTTTTAACTTTGACAATTTTCAAATGGACCATAAAGAATCTATGTGGTAGTTTTCACAAACAGTTATTGACTATCCTAATGCAAGTCCTACTGTGAGAGAAAACATTGGAATGAGTCAGTTGGACTAATAATGGTTGGAGGGGAATCTCACCAGAATGCAACTGAACTCGTTTTGGCTCAAGGCCCAATGAATGTAATAACATGTAAACTTCACATTTCCATACCCTCCAAATCAAATTAATTTTAGTAACCTGATATAACTACAGGTCTAGGTATTGAGAAAATAAGATGTTCTGTATCTAAAACTCTTAGGTGAATTCATAAGTATTCTCTGAATACAAAGTTTCTTCCTACCTTTCTTTTAAAGGTTGACACACCATGCTTGCAAGTTGTGTAATATCTCATGCAGGTACTTTCTAAACAAGATTCACATTCATCCCATAAATTTTTCAAGGATACTTGACATTGTCTTTCTTCTTCTTCCAATCTTGCCTTAACTTCATCCATAAGTCGCAAGGCTTGCTAAGTAAGAAAAAGATTCAGTTGAGGGCAGTTTTCAGATTAGTGTTCTAAGTACTCATCCCAGTGTTGATCACTCATTTTGACTATTTTGGGGTTCTTTTTTTAGCTAATCCTTAACCGTTAGGTTAGGTTGTCTTCTCAGCTGCAGTCACTTATGGAGGGAACTGAAAATTGAAAACCTTTTTCTTATAGGATTTTTCTGATGTTGTTCTCTCAGGGGGCACAGCCTACAGAAACAAATAGATCTCTACAGTCTACCAGGATCTTTAACGTCATGAAAAAAGTCACTCTTCTTTCTGTGTAAGAAGAATTCAACCTCCCACATGGTCGTGTGCTCAACTTGTATCATTTTTTTCATGTCACATGAACAGGATTCATCTGTTCCACTAATAGTGCTTTTCTCTGTTCTTTAAGGGATTGATATTCCATGAGGCTAGGTCCTTGCCATACATAAAGTCTTTCTCTAATGCAGAAATATATGAAAGTATAGCAATTCTGCTATTTGGGAGTATACTAATCAAAAGACTGTAACGAGGGATTTTCTTCCTGCTCTTGTGTGAGGCACTCCTTCCATACTGAAGGGAAACGATGCATTTTAGAATGCTGCTTCTATTTACTGGATCATTCTCCATCAGGTGGAGAACAAAGCTGAGCAGATCAGAAACAGCATTTTTGGAACAGACTTGGCAATGGAAAGACAGAAAAGTTCTTCCTATTGAAGTAGATTGCACATCCCTAATTTCTCTCTACAGTTGCAACATATTTTAATAGTTTAGGTTTCCAAACAATGTTCCCAGTTGTTCTTAAGTATGACAGAAACCTTTTAATTGGTCGGGCTTATTCATTTTGGCTGCATTTCAGTAAGGAGGAGGCTCATAGAAAAGATAACTTCTGTCAGGATGTGCTTGATGGAGAGAGCAACTCCGGTTTTCGTAATCTAGGTTTAGTTATTTTTTGATCTTTCTAATACATTTATGCAGTGTTTTATGAACTCTCGATGTAAGCTCTGTGTAAATGAAGTCATCAAGTAAGAGCTAACAAGAATGTTGATTGTGAGAGTGCAGTGGTGTTCCTAAAGATGCTAAAAAGCTGTCGGGTACTTTTTGTCTTGCTAATACAAGTAGTTTAAACTAACTATCAGGTGCTGGGCAAGAGAAGGAATTTTCCTTCAACTTCATTGAAACCAAAAGCTAGGATTTTTGTAATTTTTTTTAGTATACAGTAATCTCTGTTTATTCAAATCATCTGAGCACGTGGCTCTGAGCCTAGGCATTGCACTATGACATTGAAAATTTTCCTGATTCACTGTACTTTCTCTAGAGCACATTATCATTTGTGGCTTTGATTTTTTCCTCAAGGTTTGAAGTTTGACGAGTAAGCTGGGAAACATCTTGTGGCCTCAGGGGTTCAGAGACAGGAAGGACAGAGCTGCTGGACCTTCCACACAAAACACTGTCACACAGTTGCCTGCAGTTGCCTTGGTGTCAATTCAGTGAAGTGGTGGATTTTTAGAAATGAACAGTAAGTGCGATTTTCTTCTGATAGTGAGACAAAGGGGCAGATTTTCTATCAATCTTGTGGTCACATAGAAGATGTATGCTGCTTGATGTGTACATACAGTGTGATTGACATTCTCTCCAGAAAAGGGGAGAGAACAAGGGATCCCATCTGTATTACTTATTGGCCTGAGCACAATGGCATGCTGTACTACTTGCAGGAGGAAGGCTAAATCCTTGTACAACCTGCATCATCTTTGATTAAAAATAGATGTAAGCTAACAAAAACACAAACAAAAAAAAGGCCCAGATGGACTTATGTTACCTGTTTTTCTTCACTGCTCTTCTTCAAGGTTTTCATCAGATCTATGTGCTTATCTTCATTTTTTTCCATCATAATTTTCATCTGCTTAATACCAATCAAAGCTTTCTTTACCTCTTCATCTACATACTTCTCTCCAACTTCAGATAGTTCTAAAAAAATCCAAATTATACAGTGACTTAATCAGATTTTAACACTATTGCAAATTGTCATGCACTGTTGATGAAAGGGAATGAAACAGCTCTATGTTTCCCTACAGTGGCAGAGCTAAATCTTGAGATGGTGAATGCTGAGTAACACTGAGACAAGACATTTCCATCAGATAAGAATATGGCCCAGAGCCTTTGAAAGGATCAGCTGTATGTAACTCAAGCTGTATATTTGACTGTCCCACTGCTGATTACTGAATCCCAGAACAGTAAAAGAGGTTGCTCAGGACTTCATCCTGAGGTTTGGATATCTCCAAGGATTACCCATCAGTTTTCTGATGACATAATCTATATATTTATCTTTGATCTGATATAGCCTATGACAGCTTCCCTTTACATCTTGAAAATGTAGATTACAGGTGTCTTCTAGACTGTTTTCTAGACTTCCTGTGAAGTAATGATCAGTTTTGGTGAAAGCCAGGGCTGGCCCATGTATTGCACCTTCAAGCTCTGCATGATTGCCTCTCTATATTTGTTCCCTTTGTGGAAATACCCTGAATATCACTGGAGCTATACAACACAAGTAAAAAACCCATCACCCCCAGCCTGCCAAAAGCCTAACTTTCTGTTTGTTTGTTAAAGAAACATGACTAATATAGGCTGAAACAAATAAATATTTAATGGCTGATCCTCTTGGGATTTCTATCCACAAAATAAAGCCATGCTTACAGATGTGCATATGCAGAATAACTGCTATTTTCTAAATTAAGTAATTTTATTAAAATTATTTGTAAAAGCCACCTTTCAGCAAAGTATATAATTGTAAACATTTTCAAAGATTATTTAAATAAAGAAAATAATTCAAAATCGGTTACATTTTGAATTTATATTCTAATGATCTATGAGGGATCAAGTAACCTCTTAAAATCCTGTAAACACCTTAGGGTTTTTTGTTGTTGGTTTTTGGTTGTTGGTTTGTTTTTTTTTTTTTTCTGTAAGGAGCTGCTTATCTGTTAATCCCTTTACATTCTCATCCTTGTTCTTATCTCCCCATTGTGTGCGGGTGGGTGCACGCAGTCAGCTCTGTTATGGTCTCTAAGCTCCACACATGAAAGTGGAACCTCTTGATGCCAGTGAGTGTGGAAGTCAAAATGCACTAGCCAGCTGGGGACCTGGGCCCAGGGCCCTCTAGCACACCCCAGAAAGAAAAGCATACGTACGCTTCAGGTTTTCCCGGAGACTCATTTCCTCCTGCTTTGTTGGTGCACAGTGATGACCATTCAGCCATAGCACATATATTATAAATATCCAAGAGGACTTCATTTTCTTTCTGTTAAAGAAGCAGGTGAGTGCAGTTAAATGTAAATATTGTCATGATGTTCAAATACCTATGTGCAGCGTTCGCTAAGTGTTATACAAGTTCCCATTATTTCTGTCTTTAATTATGGTTTCTAAGATTTATAGCATGTATCTAAATGCTGCTCTTACTGAAAACACACAAGTAAGAAGCTTGACCTCATTTGTAATTATCTGTTTAGATTAATTAGATGAATTCCCCTGCGTTTGCACAGTGGCTAACAGAATCAGGACGTGTATATATAAAACCAAAAGCTAATGCAGCTCAGTCTGTCCCTTTTCTACCTTGTGAAAAGCATTAGTTACTGATCTCACACTATGTCCTTAGTTTATATCATAAATGCATCCATGCTAAATAGTATTGTCCATTTTAAAAAGGGAAATTTCTGGAATGTTATTTCCTTCCCTGTGTCCAAACATGCGATTCCTTTCATTGTGCTTCAAAACAACACTTAATATCTGAGATGTAATAATAGATGTGCCAAGAAATTGGCAATTAGATCAGTTTTGTAAACAAACAGATCAGCAGTTGAAACAAATTCCAACAAAATAAGGAAAATAAATGCTTTTTGCTTTATTTCCCTCCTAAAAGCAGAGGAGAAAGGTTTATTTTTCAGAAACCATACAACTGCACTTTATAGTTCTCATCTGATTAAATGAACACAGTATTTAAGTGCCTTCTTGTTAGCCAATATAGCCTTACTGAAGAGGCAGTTATCAGCCTCAAGTGCATATGTAAATTAAAAACCTACATTTGTTTATAGACTGGATTTATTTCTATAGTTACTTGCATATTGTACCTTTACATTTATAGCAAAAGACCAATTAACTTTGCAAAGAAATACAAAGCCCCATTACCAAAGAAAAGTAAAAAACCCGGTATATTTACCATTAATACTGAAATGCCTCTTCTGCAAAATTGCTCCCTGTGTCAGGAAGGGGTTGGGCTGTGCTCTGATCTAATTCCTGGGAGTGTCAGGGATTTTGCCATGTTCTGCTTATCTGATGAGAGGTACTTAATCCTATTAACGGGACGTTTTGTCATTAGGCTGGAGGATTTTGCATGTATGGGACTTCATGCTCATCTCTGTGGGCAAAACCACCAGGGGGAGTATTGGGCAAAATTGCCTAATTTAATGTAATTTGGAACTGCTATTTTTCTGTAGTCAATAGCCTTTGTCTTATTAGCTCTTCCATCATCTTACATTTTACCTTAGGAGACACCTGCAGCTTATGATATTAGTGAAATTGATACCATTATTTTGGTTAAAAATAGCTTCCTACGTTTAATCTCTTCCGCATAGTTTTAGTTTGCTATAAAAACCGCTGAATTATATAAGAGCCTTCTTTGTATATCTTCTGAAGGTACAGGAGTTGGAAAAAAATCATGAATCCACGTGCAGGCTGGCATAATATGAGTAGATTCTGAAATGAGATAAGAAATTTTTGGCATTTTGTACATCATTATACTTAACAATGTTTTGGGGGTTTGACCTGTTAATGTTATTTTCTTCAGTTATTCCATGTCTGCAAAATATATCTGAGGTCTGTACAGAATACATCTGACCTGTACAAAGTTTTGTATACTTTGAAATGAGATATTTAAATACTAGTAGATTCTTGATATAAAATATGGACAAATATTGTTAGCAAGTCATATCTCACATTGCGATATTCATCAGTATTACTCCCTTGTAGTCAAAGAGGAGATGGGGAAAGTGGATGTCTGTAACAGCAGTTTGAAAGCATCCCATTCCTTTTTATTTACCTCATAATCCATGAAAGGCAATTGATGATTAGTGGTTAAGATCAAGCACAATTAATGCTGCTTAGACAAGTGACTTGGGGGGGTTATTTTTAAACACGCTATCAGGAAGAGTGAGGAACCTGTTAGCTCTAATGGGAACGGCAAATTCTTGATTTGCATTAAAATTTAAGATAGCTCCATTCTTATTTTCTGAAAATGATGAGTGGAAGGAAACATCTGTTTTGTTGTAATCTATATGAATTGTTGTCTCATTGAAATGCTGCTTACTGCTTGACCAAGCCTCATCACTACCCAAAGCCTTTTAAGTTCTATTTTATGGAAATACCATGCAGGCACCCTTGCAGACTTTACAGTCTCCTGGCCAGACTGTTAAGCATTGCTGGGTCTTGGGCTGAAGTGGAAGGGGCAGTCTCTCTCTCTCTGGACCTCATGGTTGGCTCAGGGGAGAGTGAAAACAGAAAACACGTTTGCACAAAGGAAGACCATCTATTACAGACACTTGTGAAATGTGTGTTATTAGCCTACGTGGGTAATGAATCCTTAAAAAGATTTTAATCTTTTACTGCAAGGGTTTGTCCACTCATTTTTGACATTTATCTTTGCTACTATTAATTTAGTAGCAAAAGTTACCACTGGACTTTCTGAACCTGACCCTATATAGAGAAATCTTTACTCAATCCAGAGCAAAAAGGGCAGTTTCAACACATCACCCATAGTGCACAGGAATCTGTGAGAAAGCAGGTGACTTCAACTCTGGAGGGAGAGAGAGCAGCACTCCTGCCCCAGCACGGGAAAGGCTGGAGGATGCCTCTGGCACAGATCCCACTGCTTATTTTCAGAGTTGTCCACCTTCTCAAGGCTCTGTTCAAGCACACACATGCACCTTGCAAAGCCAGTCCTTAAGCTAATGCTGAGGCATGGAGTCGTGGTGTGTGTTGGGCTCCTTTTCTCAATTCAGTTGATTTCAAACATTGCAAAGTATGTTGCATTGTTGTAGATGTTACTCCTCACACTTACTATAACCATTATGTAACCACATTAAAATAGGCATTACTGTATACATCTATTTCTTTTTCCAAAACCACAAAATACCAGTCTTTTGCTCTCACATTTACTTGATATATATCTAATGACTGAAAAAGGAGTTCAAAGGAACCTGAGGACAAAACTGATAGAGCCAGTATGTCTGTTAAAGTTAATCTTGAGCTTAACTTAACCTTTGATGTGCACTTAAGAGACAAACACTCTGTTCCTGAAGGACAGTTGTTAGTTGTGCTTATTCTGAAAGTCTTCTCCTCTCTCATTTCCATTTTGAATTTAATTAAACAAAAGTCTTCATGTTTCATATCAAATATCCACTCTCTTTTTCTTTTAACATTCCAAATCTGATTTGGAATGACCTATTATGGAGATCTCCACTTTACATCTCAGCTTCCATGTTCAACAGTTTCCTCCTAATATTTTAATTTCCTCTGAATTTGAGTGCTTCAATCAGCTGTAGTATGCTGTGTCATGACATTGTGCTGACATGTTCAATTTTTCACAGTCTAATACAAGCAGATGATTCAGTGCCCACTGATGCTGTTGAAATTAATAAGGTAGTCTTCTAATATTGAGTCATGCTGGAGACAATCTGAAGAAGTTCTTGTGAGCAAATTATAGTAAGTGTCTTATTTCCCACCCCAACTGTTATTTCACTTCGATTGTATTTTAATTGAAATGAATACGTATATATTGAGAAAAAGTAGGGAAATAGCTTGGAAAAACATTTCAGTTAAAAAAAGCTTTTTGCAAGATACTGTTAAATTGAAAAGTAAATAACTGTAACAAGATATGTAGACATTGAGCTTGAACCTAGCTGAACTTGAGCAATGAGAGTTGTAGCTGCTTTGTGGATTTTCCTTAGGTCCCGTTGGATGACCTCCATGAATGTGTAACATTTTTTCACCATGTACTGTGACTTCTCCCTCTTTGTTGATCCATTCCACCTGGCAGGATTAAGCATCAAGAAATATGTTGAAATGGAATTTCCTGTGTTATACATTGGCTGTAGGATTTTGTTCCTGTTATATATTTACACAATTATTTGCTGTTTGGAAGAGTTGTTCCCTACTATGCTACACATTTCCTACACGTTTCTTTCTGAGCTAGGCCTGTCATGTAATGATCAGGCTGAGAATACCTGTACATATTTATAGATTCTATGAGTCATGTTAAGTGCTATAAATTGACATTAAATCTCTTGATACTTGTATTAAATAGTTCCCAGTTCTACAAAATCATAATTAGCTTTATTTGGAAGTGCAGTATTAGTTCCAGTGCTTTGAATTGAAATTAAATCCTAGTAGGGGTTTATGGTGTAATTACATGGCTAATCTAAAGCATGCACAAAGCTTTGCTAGCACTTAGTACAGGGCTTAAGGCTATAGAATTGAACTTTTGTTTGTAAAGGTTTTTTTATTTTGTTTTGTTTTGTTGTTAATCCTTTCCAGTACTTCAGGAGCCTCTAAGCAGTTTCTACTTTCTCCTGTATTTTAAGCGCAGTCTGCCTTTGAGCTCTGCCTGACTAGATGAAGTTAGAAAACAAGGCTCCCTCCTTAGCCTGGAGGGAGAGATGCTCTCATTTGTGCTGGAAGGCCTCAGATGAAGGAGCTGAGGCTACATTAAATTGAATAGCTACAGTTAGTCTAAGTTACACATCTGGCAAAAATACCAACTCAGGCCCCCAGAGTAGCACAGCTGTGTTAGCATGACAGGATCCCAAGGTTCAAGAGCCCTGAAGCTCAAAGTCAGGCTGACACAATTCCTCTGTCTGGAGGAAGGTCAGATAGTGCCAGGTCAGGACTCTGCACAGACATGAAGCCAGCAGAAGGCAGAAATCAGCTTGTGTAACTTAGAGCATCACACTAAGATTTAATGTGGCTTTAGCTGGAGCTATTAAGCTACAGTTTTTGGAGTCAGCAAGACCATTTTCACAAAGCTTAGCAGGCTTTAAAATGTATGAGACTTTTCTGATTTCCTTTTGCTTGTCTATCCATGGACATTAAGGATGACTATTGGGTGTGGAAAAAAATCTTTCACTGCTGTAATTTTTTTTTCCAAACCCTCCAGGGCTTTGACATGAAGTTCTAAATACCAGTCCCAGCAGTAATGTGACAACTGTTGTTCATAGGGCCATGCAAATTTTTTTTCACACCTTATCCAGAGGCATTGCAGATGGGACCTATTGTGATACTGAACACTATACTGGGGGAAACAAAATTGTAACACAAAGAAATTCAATTAGTTTTAGGGAACAGAGAATGAAAACCTTAGAGTTGTATTAAGGACAATATGAAGCTGAAACCTAAAATTATTATGCAGTTGTCTTCAGAATTTGGGCTTAGGATATCAGCTAACTATTGAACTTGGAGTAGCTCTATTACTGATGTTATGTTATGTTATCAGCAGGAGATATCAAAGTCAATGCAAGGATAACAAAATGAGTAAGGAACAATTTATTATAAAGCTATGAAGCGAACCTGCATGGTACAGTTACACAAACATATTTCAGGAAGCATTTAATATTAGAATGCTGAAGTTTTGGACCAGATGTTTTGCAAGGATTTAGTTTCAAGCTTCCCTAGGAACATTAAAACAAAAAATTTTTATTGCATGCAGACATGTAATATATCAGCTTTCAGCCTGCAACTGAAAGGCACAGGGTTTCTTGTGTGTATTCATCTGGTTTTCTTAAGCATATCTTTGTCATTCAGCTCTGTATCACTTAGTTAAAAGAGTGGCCGATTATTGGAAACAACTCTGGACTTTAATGAAATTGAAATGTCTGAATTATCAGTTTGTGAGGTTCTGAACTACTCTTGAAGATGCTGCTAACTGCTCTAAGCTGCTGTCATAAAAAGGAATTGATAACATTCAGATAGGACCTTTATAATAGTCGATGAAGAAACTGGAAATTGCTTTGTTGGGGAATAATCCTCTCCCTGGTAACTTGACCTCTTGTTTCTGCTGCATTTAAAGTGGATCCTGCTCCAGTGCCTATGGGACAGCAAGCCCAAAGCAGTAGGTCTGAACATAAAGCTTCCTCAAAGTAGCTGATAATCAGACACGCTGTCCCCTTGCTTGTAGTAGCACAGAAGTGGAGAAAGTAAAGCTGGAATGCTGCCTGAAGCTGACTTTTTCTCCATTTCAAATATTAAGGACAGTTTCTAAGAAGACCCA